ATATTTGGCATTCACTTCTACATAGTTATAATAATTAATAAACATAATAAACTATATGATTACCTCAATGCACCATTTTATTTACCTCAGCAGATGTTCATGTATGACTTCAAAGTGGGTACCTCACCACAATTCAAAATTCTCTATAAGGAAACAGAGTTATGATTAAATTTTTACCCTAGACTACTTTTCTATTTAATAATATTATGTTACAACTAAAACTTATTTAATATATAGATAAACTTGACTGCAAATTATCAACCCATGCTTGCGTACTTTTCTATTTAATAATATTATGTTACAATGAGACCTTTTTTCAGTTGTCCTTAAATTTTCAAATTTTTTCGATAAATCAAAAAATAGAATTTTTAATAAAATAGTTTTTATGAAAGAGAGTTGAATACAAATGAATATTGAGTAGAGAAAAGCTTTGCAAAAAAGAATTTTATTGGTTCTCATAAAGTGTAAGTTGGAGATATATTACATGTTATAAAGGTCCACATTGACATCCACAATAACTAACCAGTTGTATTGTCATCATCAATTGTATATTCAAACCAAAGAAAATCTTTGACTAATTGTGTGTTTGGATTAAAAAATTTACAACTGAGGTTAGGATTCAACTGAGGTTAGCAAACTGAGGTTAGAAAAAAAGTCAGTTGATGTAATGTGATTTATGTTTGGATACTATTTTTTTAAAAAGTCAGTCAGATAAACTGAAATTCATTTGGATGGTTTAATTCAAAAGCCAGTTGAGATATTTAATGGCAAAAATAAGCATGAAATTTTTTTCTTAAATATTAAATCTTAAATAAGCATGTTTATATTTTTTTGACTAACTAATCAATAAAAAATATTAAAGTTAAAATCACAACTAATAAGTAAAATATCTTAAATATTCAACCATAAAAACCTAAAATAAATTAATATTTAATTGATATAATTTACAAGTTGATCTCTAATTATATCACGAACACGCTGCATCTGTCTTGATGATCTGGGTAGATTTGACAAGGATGCTTCACTAATATCGATATCTTCCTCCTGGACTTCTACACTTTCATCTTCAGCTTGTATGAACTGCTCGTCAGTAATTAAATTTCTCTTAATAAAATTATGTATTGCCATTATTGTACAAACAATTTGAACTTGTGTTTTAATTTAAATTTGGGCATTTTTCGTATAATTGCAAACCTATTCTTCCACACTCCAAAAGTTCTTTTTATAGTGCATCTTAGACTTGAATGATAATAATTGAAGATCTCATTATTGTTTGCAAATCCTGCAACTCGTCTAAAGTCTGGAAGGTGATAACATTCGCAACGATATAGACCAAGATACCCATTTAGTGTTGGATAACCAGAATCAACCAAATAATATTTACCTATTAAATGAAAGGAAGTGATGTAAATTTGACCAACATTAAATCAATGCAATAATAATTATAGTGACTTTAATAAAATATACCTGGAGGTGGAAGCAAAAAATGCATTAAAGGAGTTGATATGGCATTATCAAATACTCAAGCATCATGAGCTGTACCTTCCCATCCCGTAATGATAAAAGTAAAACACATGTCCCAATCACATACAACCATAATATTCTGTATTGCATATCCCTTTCTTCCAATAAATTTGATTTGATCAGCAACGCTAACCATGCATGGCACATGAGTGCCATCAATTGCTCCTATAGCATCCTTAAAGAATGGCCAATACCGTGGATCATTTTGAATTTTTGAATGACATCGTTGAAACAAACGATCGAGTGGCTTTATGTTTGCCTTGGAAAGGTTAAGGCAGGCAGCTAATACTTTATGAAAATTTCTATGAACAGTTTCCCCTGAATGCTGAAATCGTTCCTGTATCATCCTATTACCAACTCCATGTCCAATTGTATTTAAAAACATTCCAACCATTTCTTCAACTCCCATTTTTTAGACTTCTTTAGACGAAGATCAACTAGTGTCGCACACAGTCGCCTAAACAAATGATTTTTCATTTGAAACATTTCATAACAACAATCAGGATAACCTTGCAAAATCTCATCGACCCACATTTGTCCTGTTTGCATGCTAGTTCTCCGTGGCTCTTTACACACATATGGCATCACATATTCACTAACTAATTGACATATTTCTTCTTGCTCCGTTATATCTTGCTGTAATAAGGGAAGTAGTTGATGAACCACATCTACATCCTAACCTTCATTCCAACCTAACATATATTCATTCGAATCTTCCATGATTTTTAAACCTGAGGTAAAATAGTATGTAAATATCATTTGTATATAATATAAAGTACATAATATATATAAATATCATAAAAGATAAAGCATAAGATAAGCATTAGATAAGAGTTAAATATTCACTACAAACCAAGTCATCATTTGCAAATTACTAGTCAAAATAAAGCAACTACAAGTCAAACACAAGTCAAAATAAAGCAACTACAAGTCAAACACAAGTCAAGTCATCATAAGCCTAGATAAAAATTCATGTAGATGCATTTTTTGAAATCCAATCTGGTAGATGGTAAACTTGGTACTTCAACTAATTGACCAAGTGATCAGGATGATCTTTAAGTTGCCAGTAAACATCTCGCATAGGCTTGTACAGAACAAGATTGACACATCTCTAATTCAAATCTTTATCACCAAAAACTTCTGGGAGTCCATTTAGGTGAGCCACAACTTTAGAAACTCCTATGTCATTTGCTAAAATCTTGTTCACTGTCTCTGTTCTTGCTCTATTATCCTTAGCCATTTCACTCATTGCATCTGCTATTTTCATTGAGGCAGGGACTTTTTGCTTTTTCCTCCCACCAATGCCTACAATCCTCTTTCTCTTGCCTTGACTTCCGTCACCACTGGTTCCACCAGTATTTGTGGTTACATTCAAGCCCAACAGCTCATCGGTGACTCCCGTAGGTGCTGCAGTGTCAGATAAATTTAGTTCCTCTTCACTATCACCAGAGCCTTCTCGAAGGTCAATAGTAGGGCAGGACACATCCTCATCATCATCATCCTCTATTTGGGTCTGGGTAGCAGATGGTATAAAAAGTGTCTCCCCAATTGCCAGGACATCCTTGAATATCAAAGTTAATTCCCTTGCAAATCTCAAACCTTTATATCTAAATTTTCCATAAAGGGGATTTTCCTGCAACCATTCAAATAACCAACAATTAAAATTCTCAAATTAAATTCTAATCTTAAAAACACTTAACAACTAATCCATACCAAGATTTTTCACTCCCACCACTCATCTGGAGCATCAACAGTATTCTTGTCACTGTCCCATCCTAAGCCGATTTCACTTGAAAACAACTTATGCCATATGTTCCATTCTTTCCTCATGTTATCTAGCTTATTTTTTAATTGCTTTCGCTCATACCTTTTTCCTATTTTTGCCTCAAACCCCTCAATTATTGCCTGCCACCCATTTTTGTTGAAAGTAGTTCCCTTCCTTTGTTTCTTGTACACTTGCTCCAAGCATTCCTTAATGAAAATTTTTGTCAAGGTTGAATTCCACACAGCTTTTCCCTTTTTGTTGTTCATTGTTCTATAAACTAGCCAACCATCACAAACATGCAAGATTAATAAATATCTCTCCTCTTTCAAACACTCTAAAAATAATAAGGTTTTGATAATTTTTTTTAATTTTGTTTAACCAATCTAATAGTTCCCTTCAAACATTATTGTGCCTAACATTAAATTATAATGGGTTTGAAACTTTTAGAACTAGGACTTTTCACATAAAAATTCCTCAAAATTATAGCTCAATACTTCATTAAAATACGGTTTCCTATTAAACATTTTGTCAAAATACCAAATGTACATTATTTTCAATTTCATGATAAAACTTTTAACATTCAAATTTATTACCCAACAATTTCTCAACTTAATAATTATAAAGAACTCAACTAGCTACACAATATTTTCATAATCAAATTTCAACAGCCAATGACAAGCTTATTTGACAAAATTATAGTAGTCAAAGCGATTATGTCTTCTGTAACACTTGCCCCGAGTGTTATCCAAAAATCAAACAATTCAAATAAACTAAGTGTGATTAAGGAATTAATTCTAAAACCAACTTAGGAAACAAACCATTTAAATCACTAAGCAAATACACAATTGCAAAGTAAACATTTAAAGCCTTTAAAAAAAATTTATAGGTTCTACCTATAGCAAGCGAAAGCAAGCTAGACGAAAGTGAAATAAAAAGATGCTGTCATGACAGCCTTCCTGGGCCAACTTCCGGGAGGCACCGTTTCGTAATTCGACCTCCGATTGAAGTAATTTTAAAGCTCACACATCACATTCAAAGGGTACTATAAGTATATCAAATTTCAAAAAGATTCAACGGTCGAATTAAAAATTGGACATGTTATAAATTTGGTCACTTTTGCTGTCATGACAGCTAATAGCTGTCATGACAGCACTTCCGGACTAACTTTCGGAGTACACCATTTCATCATCCGACCTCCGATCGATATGATTCTAAATCCCACATGAAGCTTATAAAAGGTTTTACTTGTGACCCAAATTTTAGCGAAATCCAACAGTCAGATTAAGATTTGGACACCCGGATGCAAAAGTGCAATTTTTTTAGTAAAAACCATTTTCAAAATTGTCCAAATCTCATCCTAATGGTCACAAACCTGTGGGAACACTTTGGACACGTCAAATAAGACTAAAAATACCTGATAGAACATTCAAATAATAGAAAACCCCCATACATCAAAATTTGACCACCCAGGTGCCATTTCTCAAAATGAACCCTAAACCCTCAAAATGCACAAATCATATAAGAGTGGTCACAAATCAATCTAAATACCATGTATTTATATAAATACATATGCTAAACATTTTCACTTGGCTCAAAGCTCCTTGTGGGGCCCACACACCCACTCTCTCTATCCAAGGTGTATGTTTGCCCATAGCACATCATTTGCAATGCAACCACTTTGCATTTACTTATAAAATCACATATATATCAAAATAAATATCTGCTTGTAATAGAAACTTGGTCTATTAAGTAAATCCATCAAAACCACACACCATAACCAAGTTTCCTAGCCACAAGTCTGCAAACAGACAAAAATTCATACACAAGCACACAATCCACACATATTCACACACACATACATAATCATATCCTACTGGCACCCTAATCCTAAATACATTACAATATATTTGCTCAAAAGAAAGGGGTTGCAGTTCTTTACAAATCACAAGCAAACCCCTAGCTTTGCTCCTTTCCCCGTCCACCACTGGATCCTTCACCTGGACCTATAATATTAAAAAGAAAGGGATAAGACAACCACAGTCTCAGTAACAAAGAAATCTACATTGATTATTACAAAGTAAGCCATAATCAAATAAATGAATAATAAATTCAACATAGTATATAATTTAGCCATTTAAAATGTATGAATGCATGACCTAGGCCGATATGGCCTTTCATGACCAACGGAATGCCCCCTGGCACTCTTTAACTTGCAGGTAAACCTTATACCTACTTGTACCTCCACAGGCACAAAACATAGTTTAAGGCATGATCTAATCCACCAAACTGCCTATGCCCCTTCGACGTAAATCCTGAGCAGTCAAAACTAACTCCCTCCCAGAGCCAGCTCGACTTACTCTCCATGTGAGGGCTACCTTAGCCTAGGCACTCAACCTCACACTTCATATGTCGGATTCCCTCCCCCACTGAGAGGTGTCGAACACTCAATACACTAACCACTTTAGTGCACTGAGCCCACAATATGTAAGACAACACTGAGTACTAACAGTGTACCATAAAATATCAAAAATCTACACCTTCTTATTGGTGAACTCCCACCAAGATCATGCCTTTTACTCTTGTCTATCTTTCCTGAGTATTGACCATTCAACACTCTAAAGTAGTATAACATTTATAAATCTCGTTTCCATAAAAACATTGTTATGAAACAATTAAAAAAAAACATAATTGCACTATAATCAAAGTAATACCCCATAACCCTTTATAAAGCACATTTAATCTTTTAAAACATGTAATGCATGATAGATAGTAATATTTATTCAAAAATAGCTAAAACAGAGTAATAGAAAATATAAGTTTTCCCTATTACCTCAACCCTTTAGTACCAAAAGGGTTCCCCTTGTATAAAATAGAGCTCAGCTTGTTCCTTAATTTCTGAACAAATTCCACCAACAATTCCTACAACATATAAGTGATCCACATCACTTATCATGTCAAATAGCATTAATGAAGACTATAACTCATACCACACAACTTGGGTCTATGAGCCATAATCCATCCCAATGGTCCATATATTAAACCAACCATTCACATAGTATCACTTAATCACCAAAACCATTTATTAGCCATCACTACGCTAATTTTAATTTATATAATTTTTTAATCAATTAAAAACCTTTACTTAGTGCCATCAACTTTCACCATTAGCCTTTATAATGAAAACCAAACCTTAATTTAAATCTTATTGGGCTCAAATAGCAAAATTATAACTAAATCAATAGGCTTAAACCATTGAGGAGCAAAAATCCAATTTCTCAGGGTTTATTTTGTGCCCAAAACACCTCTTTTCATCCAATTATCCACTCAAAACATTAGATCACTATATAGAAACTCAAAACATGCTCCCTAGGATCCAAAGAAATAAAAGCTTACAAGAATAAAGCCTTTGGGATCAAAATCCAAAAATTTCTTCTTCCAAAAATTGAAGAAAATCAAGAGAAAGAGAAGAGGATTGAAGTAGGGAGTTTACCTATCATGTAGCTGAGCTCGCAACGGTCGCAAAGACTCCTAGATCCAAGCCTAACTCCCTCCCTTTCTCTTCTCTTCTTCCTCTCTCTCTTTCTCCCGTTTGTGCGTTTCTTTTTTTTTGTTCATTTTCTCTGCATTTCTGCATCTGTTTTCCCCTTATAAAAGCTGATCTAAAAGTTTGGGGAAAATTACAAGAAATGGCCCAACATTTTTTATTATTGCATAAAAGCCCGGGTCAACTTTGGTAATTTTTCCCAAAGTTAAAAATCAAATAAAACTAAACTTTTGCTTAGTAAAATTCAAACTCTTGACCTCTATCAAATTATTCTAAATTTTAATTTAATTATAGATATTTTATTTTATTTTTATAAATTCGAGTTTTAAAATTTCGGGATGTTACATTCTCCCCTCCTTTAAAAAGAATTTTGTCCCCAAAATCCAAGCTAATATATGAACCAAAGAGATAAACATACCTAGGGAAACAACTGTGAATATTCCTTCCTCATTTGATCCTCGGTCTCCCAAGTTGCATCTCTCAGAGCCGTCCCTTTCCAAATCACTTTTACCAACCGGATTGTCTTATTTCTGAGTTGCTTATTCTTAGCATCTACAATACGATCTGGTTCAGTCCGGTAGGTTAAATTATCTTGAATTTCAACCTCTTCAGGTTCTATCACATACGATGGGTCTGGCTGGTACTTCTTCAGCTGTGACACATGAAACACGTTGTGTAGACCCACTAATTGAGGCGGCAATGCCAACTGATATGCCACCGGCCCAACTTTCTTCAAAACCTCAAAAGGACCCATATATCGAGGAGATAACTTTTTAGCCCGAATTGAGCATCCAATGCCCGTCAATGGGGAAACTTTAAGAAAGACATGATCCCTAACCTCAAAAGACAAGTCCTTACGACGATTATCTGCATAACTTTTCTGTCTACTTTGTGCTGTAAGAAGCTTTTATTGGATCAATTTGATTTTCTCTGTGGTCTCATCTACCACATCCGGTCCCATCATTGTCCTCTCACTCAACTCATACCAACAAAGAGGCGATCTGCACCGTCTTCCATACAATGCTTCATAAGGAGCCATTTGAATACTGGCATGATAACTGTTATTATAAGCAAACTCTGCCAGAGGTAAATGCTTATCCCAGCTTCCCTGAAGCTCTAGGGCACATGACCTCAACATATCCTCTAATGTCTGGATTGTCCGCTCAGTTTGTCCATCCGTTTGTGGATGATAAGACGTACTAAACTTCAGATCCATGCCCATAGCCTTTTGCATAGCTTGCCATAAATTTGATGTAAATCGAGAATCACGGTCTGAAACAATATCCCTCGGTACCCCATGTAGTCGCACAATCTCCTTAATATAGATCTCAGCATACCTATCAACTGTATAGGTGGTCTTGACCGGTAAGAAATGTGCTGACTTAGTTAAACAATCTACAATTACCCAGATAGAGTCAAAACTAGCCTGGGTCCTCGGCAAACCAGATACAAAATCCATTGAAATACTCTCCCATTTCCATTTAGGAATCTTTAAAGGCTGCTGTAATAACCCCGATGGCTTTTGGTGCTCTATCTTGACCTTCTGATAGGTCAAACACTTACTAACATACTCTGTGACATCCTTTTTCATGCCTGGCCACCACCAATGATGCTGCATGTCATGATACATCTTAGTAGCACCAGGATGAAGGGTGTAGCTACTTCGATATGCCTCATCCAATAATTTCTTCCGAATAGACTCATTGTTAGAAATACATACCCTATCCTTGAAAACCACATACCCATCATCACTAAACCAATAGTCCATTATCTCACCATTCTCGATGTCTTAACATATTTTTAACAAAATCGGATCTTGAAGCTAAGCATCTCGTATCTCTTTCCAAAATTCATTAGAAATAACCATAGTATTAAGACCATTCAAAGAGAACTTAGTCATACCCAAAGAAGTTTCAACCAAAGATTCCATCAATCTATGCTCCCGAACCATTAAATAGGCCACATGTAAGGTCTTGTGACTAAGAGCATCTGCTACCACATTTGCTTTCCCCGAATGATACTTAAATTCAAAATTATAATCTTTAAGAAACTCCATCCAACATCTCTGTCTTATGTTCAGCTCTTTTTGATCCACCAGGTACTTGAGACTTTTATGGTCGCTCATGACCCTGAACTCTGTTCCATAAAGATAATGACGCCAGATCTTTAACACAAAGACCACCACAGCCAACTCGAGATCATGTGTTGGATAATTCTCCTCATGCGGTCTAAGTTGTCTAGATGCATATGCCACTGGTCTCTCATCTTGCATTAGAACACAACCAAGACCCTTATGAGAGGCATCAGTATACACATCATAGGGCTTTTGAGGATCCGAAATCACCAACACTGGAGCTGTTGTTAACCTTTCTTTCAACTCAAGAAAAGCTGTCTCGCACTTATCATCCCAAATAAATGGCCTATCCTTCCTTATGAGTTTAGTCAAAGGCATCAAAATCTGAGAGAAACCTTTGATAAAACGTCGGTAGTAACCTGCTAATCTCAGAAAACTACGGATCTCAGTTATCGATTTTGGTCTCTCCCATTGCATGACTGCTTCAACCTTATATGGATCAACTGCAATACCATTTGCCGACATGATATGTCCCAAGAACCTAACCTCTCTCATCCAAAACTCGCACTTACTGAGCTTGGCATATAGCTTATGATCTCGCAGAAACCTTAGGACAGTCCTCGAGTGTCTGGCATGCTGTTCCTCATTTTTAGAGCAGATCAGTATATCGTCAATAAAAACTACCACAACTGATCCAAGAAAGGTCGAAAAATGCGGTTCATATAGTCCATGCAAACCGCAAGCGCATTAGTTAGCCCAAGTGGCTTAACCAAAAACTTGTAATGACCATACCGAGTCCTGAAAGCAGTCTTCGCCACATCCTTCTCACTAACCCTCAGCTAATGGTACCCTGAACGTAAATCAATCTTAGAGAAAATCGTGGCACCAACCAACTGATCTAAGAGATCATCAATGCGAGGCAGTAGGTACTTGTTCTTTACCGTAACCTTATTCAACTACCTGTAATCGATACACAATATTAAACTACCATCCTTCTTCTTCACAAATAAGACAGGAGATCCCCAAGGAGAAACACTAGGTCTAATAAATCCCTTATCTAACAGCTCCTCAAGTTGCTTCTTCAACTCAACTAACTCTGAAGGAGCCATTCTATAGGGAGCCTTTGAAATTGGCTGAGTCCTTGGTACCAGGTCAATCGAGAATTCAACCTCACGTTCTGGAGGTAATCTTGATACATCCTCAGAAAACACCTCTGGGAACTCCCTAACAACCTCAATTTCATCCACCATACCTGTCTCAGACCCTTGGGTAGCGAGCACTACCACGTAAGCCTCACAACCCTGCTCAATCAACCTTTCAACTTGCAAAGAAGAAAGAAAACAAGAATGACTAGGGTATTCCTCGATCACCTGCGGTACTTCTACCAAAGTCACTGTCTTAGCCACACAATTTAAGACAGGACCATAAGCTGTCAACCAATCCATACTAATAATTAAATCAATCCCTTGCATAGGTAATTTGATCATATTCACCTAAGTCGATCGCCCATTAAAAGTCATCTTAGTCCTACACACCACACTAGATTGACCAACCAAACCAGAAGTAGAGGAAACTTTTATATCATGGGGCAACTGGTCAGCAGGCATAGCCATTCTATTTAAGCGCTCGGCAGAAATAAAAGAATGCATCACACCACAATCAAACAAAGCTTCTAAATCGAGGCCACAGATAGAAACCATACCAGTGATTAGATTCGATGACTTTCTAGCCTCCTCTTGAGATACTGTATACACTCTACCAGGAATCACGTTCCTCCGGTCCGAGCTCTCATGTAAATTAAGGCAGTCACGGATCAAATGGCCTAACTTTCCACACTTGTAGCAAGCAAAGCAGTGACCAAAATGAACCCTACCACATCTATTGCAAGGTGACCTCGCTGTGCTTAGAATTGGGGCTTGACTAGTCTGTGAAGAACGTGCTGGAGCATTCCCAGAGAAACGAGAACCCCCAGATCTCATATTACCACCCCGATTACCTTGAAATCTTGAATCCCTATTTAAATTTTGATTACCAGAAGTAGAAGAAGACCCAGTTCTAAAGGAGCCACTAGAAGAAGAACCAGAGCTAAAACCCATTCTCTTAGATACACCACCAGTAGGAGCCAACCCAAAAGAAAATCGACCTCGTGTATCCCTGCTCTGGCTACTCTCTGTGTCTCGGCCTCGGTAAGCGGCAATCCTCAGACGATTGCACATCTCATCATATATTGCCTCGCCCAACAAAGATAGCTGCTGGCGGTATTCTGGCCTCATCTTTTCTAATAACCTCTTTGCTTTCCACTTGCTATCATTAGAAGCCTTCAGATATGTTGAGAACTTAGACAGCTGATTGAATTTTCTCATAAAAGTCTCCTCGTCTAAGTCCCCCTGCTGAAATGCATGAAACTCTGCCTCTTTCTCATCTCTAAAAGCTTGTGGAAAGTGAAAATCATAAAATCTTTCTTTAAATTCAGCCCAAGACATAGATCTTCCATATGTGGGCTTAACAAATCCCACCAATGCTTGGCTTCACCAACAAGCTGCATCGTAGTCAAGATAACCCTCTGCTCAGATGTACACCTCACAACAGTAAATAACTACTCCATCCGATCCAACCACTCCTCAGCTTTCCTATCAAGCATACTACCATCATATGTGGTCGAATTAGAGCGAGAGAATTCCTTCCAAGGTTCGGATATGTCATCCTCTTGATTATTAGCAACTGATACATGAGCTCCCATAGTACTAGAAGATCCCTGTCCAGCACTTAGGTCAACATGCTGATCTGGAACAGTATGACTTCTAAGATTTTGCTATATATCTACCATAACATCAAGCAGCCTAGCCATGACTGCATCCGTCCCCTGTGGTGGTGGTGGAGGTGGAGGTGGAGGCAGAGGCGGAGGCAGAGGAGGTAGAGGTGGTGGTCGTTCCTCATTCCTCGATCTACCCCTTCCCCTTCGAGCCATATTAGAACTGAAAGGTGTACAGCCACAAGCGTACGGACCTTTCTCCCCTCCTAAAGGAACAAGCCAGAGAAAGAAAAACAATATTAGTCTAGGTTAGTGGTAGAAGGAAAAGAGTAAAAAAAGTAATGTATTTAAGGTGCCAAGTAGGAAAAAGGAATCATAAACCTAAAACTGATACCAAATGTAACACTTGCCCTGAGTGTTATCCAAAAATCACACAATTCAAATAAACTAAGTGTGGTTAAGAAATTAATCCTAAAACCAACTTAGGAAACAAACCATTTAAATCACTAAGCAAATACACAATTGCAAAGTAAACATTTAAAGCCTTTAAAAAAAATTTATAGGTTCTACCTATAGCACGCAAAAGCAAGCTAGACGAAAGTGAAATAAAAAGATGCTGTCATGACAGCCCTCCTGGGCCAACTTGTGGGAGGCACCGTTTCATCATTCGACCTCCGATCGAAGTAATTTTAAAGCTCACACATCACATTCAAAGGGTACTATAAGTATATCAAATTTCAAAAAGATCCAACGGTCGAATTAAAAATTAGACATGTTATAAATTTTGTCACTTTTGCTGTCATGACAGCTAATGACAGCACTTCCGGACCAACTTCCGGAGTGCACCATTTCATCATCCGACCTCCGATCGGAGTGATTCCAAATCCCACATGTCACTTTTTAAGAATACTATTAGAATACCAAATTTTGAAAAAATCCAACAGACAGATTGAATTTTGTGTGGGTTACAATATAACTACTGTAGCTGTCATGACAGCAATGAAATGCTGTCATGACAGCACCTCCAGACCAAATTCTAGAGTGCGCCGTTTCTCCATCCGATATCTAATCAACATGATTCCAAATCCCACACGAAGCTTATAAAAGGTTTTACTTGTGACCCAAATTTTAGAGAAATCCAACGGTCAGATTAAGATTTGGACACCCGGATGCAAAAGTGCAGTTTTTTAGTAAAAACCATTTCAAAATTGTCCAAATCTCATCCTAATGGTCACAAATCAATCTAAATACCATGTATTTATATAAATACATATGCTAAACATTTTCACTTGGCTCAGAGCTCCTTGTGGGGCCCACACACCCACTCTCTCTATCCAAGGTGTATGTTTGCCCATAGCACATCATTTGCAATGCAACCACTTTGCATTTGCTTATAAAATCACATATATATCAAAATAAATATCTGCTTATAATAGAAACTTGGTCTACTAAGTAAATCCATCAAAACCACACACCATAACCAAGTTTCCTAGCCACAAGTCTGCAAACAGACAAAAATTCATATACAAGCACACAATCCACACATATTCACACACATACATAATCATATCCTACTGGCACCCTAATCCTAAATACATTACAATTTATTTGCTCAAAAGAAAGGGGTTGCAGTTCTTTACAAATCACAAGCAAACCCCTAGCTTTGCTCCTTTCCCCGTCCACCACTGGATCCTTCACCTGGACCTATAATATTGAAAAGAAAGGGATGAGACAACCACAGTCTCAGTAACAAAGAAATCTACATTGATTATTACAAAGTAAGCCATAATCAAATAAATGAATAATAAATTCAACATAGTATATAATTTAGCCATTTAAAATGTATGAATGCATGACCTAGGCCGGTATGGCCTTTCATGACCAACGGAATGCCCCCTGGCACTCTTTAACTCGCAAGTAAACCTTATACCTACTTGTACCTCCACAGGCACAAAACATAGTCTAAGGCATGATCTAATCCACCGAACTGCCTATGCCCCTTCGACGTAAATCCTGAGCAGTCAAAGCTAACTCCCTCCCAGAGCCAGCTCAACTTACTCTCCATGTAAGGGCTACCTTGGCCTAGGCACTCAACCTCACACTTCATATGTCGGATTCCCTCCCCCACTGAGAGGTGTCGAACACTCAATACACTAACCACTTTAGTACACTGAGCCCACAATACGTAAGACAACACTGAGTACTGACAGTGTGCCATAAAATATCAAAAATCCACACCTTCTCATTGGTGAACTCCCACCAAAATCATGCCTTTTACTCTTGTCTATCTTTCCTGAGTATTGACCATTCAACACTCTAAAGTAGTATAACATTTATAAATCTCGTTTCCATAAAAACATTGTTATTAAACAATTAAAAAAAACATAATTGCACTATAATCAAAGTAATACCCCATAACCCTTATAAAGCACATTTAATCTTTTAAAACATGTAATGCATGATAGCTAGTAATATTTATTCAAAAATAGCTAAAATAGAGTAATGGAAAATATAAATTTTCCCTGTTACCTCAACCCTTTGGTACCAAAAGGGTTCCCCTTGTATAAAATAGGGCTCAGCTTGTTCCTTAATTTCTGAACAAATTCCACCAACAATTCCTACAACATATAAGTGATCCACATCACTTATCATGTCAAATAGCATTAATGAAGACTATAACTCATACCACACAACTTGGGTCTATGAGCCATAATCCATCCTAATGGTCCATATATTAAACCAACCATTCACATAGTATCACTTAATCACCAAAACCATTTATTAGCCATCACTAGGCTAATTTTCAATTTATATAATTTTTTAATCAATTAAAAACCTTTACTTAGTGCCACCAACTTTCACCATTAGCCCTTATAATGAAAACCAAACCTTAATTTAAATCTTATTGGGCTCAAATAGTAAAATTATAATTAAATCAACAGGCTTAAACCATTGAGGAGCAAAAACCCAATTTCTCAGGGTTTATTTTATGCCCAAAACACCTCTTTTCATCCAATTATCCACTCAAAACATTAGATCGCTATATAAAAACTCAAAACATGCTCCCTAAGATCCAAAGAAACAAAAGCTTACAAGAATAAAGCCTTTGGCATCAAAATCCAAAAATTTCTTCTTCCAAAAATTGAAGAAAATCAAGAGAAAGAGAAGAAGATTGAATAGGGAGTTTACCTATCATGTAGCTGAGCTCACAACGGTCGCAAAGACTCTTAGATCTAAGCCTAACTCCCTCCCTTTCTCTTCTCTTCTTCCTCTCTCTCTCTCCCCCGTTTGTGCGTTTCTTTTTTTTTGTTCATTTTCTCTGCATTTCTGCATCTGTTTTCTTAGTAATTTTGGGGAAAATTACAAGAAATGGCCCAACATTTTTTATTATTGCATAAAAGCCCGGGTCAACTTTAGTAATTTTTCCCATTGTTAAAAATCAAATAAAACTAAACTTTTGCTTAGTAAAATTCAAACTCTGGACCTCTATCAAATTATTCTAAATTTTAATTTAATTATAAATATTTTATTTTATTTTTATAAATCCGAGTTTTAAAATTTCGGGATGTTACATCTTCTAAAGGTTTAATGAAATTTTAATAAATTCAAATTCAAACAAACTCTCCTAATAGATATTTTATCAAACACCTCATGGGAATTGTTCTTTAAACAAATGCCAGCTTCTTTCTCTTCAATTTACTTCCAAAATTTCATAATAGCAATATAAACTCAATTAGAATTCAAACCCACATCCTCATTCTCTTATTCTTCATACTAGGAGTTTTAGCTAAACTCACTTTTTCCTCAAACTCCAACATGCATGATATCATAAGGAGATGAATTTCACAGCTTCATCCACTCCAAACAAAATTATTTTAATTCACAATTTCTGATCATATTATACTTTCAACACCTAATTTTAGCTTAATTCCATAATTTTAAATATTTTTATTTCCTCAACAGCCAAAAAAGCAGTAAAATTCAAGAGAGGAATTTCAACTTCAACAACATTACCACAGACTCACACGCACAAGTTCAGCACTGAAGCACCAAGCACAACTTCATCCATTAATACACACAAGTGCGCAGAACCAAGTAGGGAGGAAGAGTAAAAAATCCATACCTCTAAACAACAATGGTGGAAGTTAGAAGAAAGAGACGCTGCTTCTCAAACAAGGAAGAAGAAGACGATAAAGGG